AACTTGTCATAATCCTAATTATAGACCAGTTTCTAGACAAACTACAAGTAGGGATATTAAAAAGCTATACAAAACTGATAAAGAGAAAATAAAAGAAGAATTTTCTACGTGCACTTTTTCAGTGTCGTTAACATCTGATATCTGGACTGGTCGGGCAAAGCAAGACTACATTAGTGTGGTAACTCATTATGTTAACGAACATTGGCATCTACAAAAAAGAGTCATAGGATTTGAATTAATTGATGTAGCACATAGTGGTCCGAACATTGCTGAAGCTATACTAAAAGTTGTGAACGATTTTAATCTTGCCGACAAGGTTTTCTCAATAACTTTGGATAATGCTTCAGCAAACACGAGTGCAATGAATACTCTGACTCCTATATTCTCCATATATGCTGCATCCTTTTTAATGCATCAACGTTGTGCTTGCCATATCATTAATCTTATTGCTAAAAGTGCGTTACATTTATGTGAACCACATGTTGAAGTCATACGCATTGCAATATCTTATTTTTCGCATTCAACTCAACGAATTACAAACTATAAGAGATATTGTCTTGCTATAGGGTGCGTTCCTCATAAGTATAATTCAGACATGCCTGTTAGATGGAACTCTACATATTTGATGCTTAAGGCAGTTATCCGAGACAGAGTTCAGTTGAATGGCTTTATTAATGCAAATTATGGGGTTGAACCTCTAATTAGCGAAGAAACTTGGCACGTTATTACAGCATTGACTGCATTTCTTGAGTTGTTCTATGATGCAACAGTTACTTTGTCTGGGGTTTATTACCCGACATCTCCTTTGATGGTGCATACCCTATTAGACATTGCTAGTCATCTAAAAGCATATGAAGGGGCAAGATCTTTGGTTCTTCATCCTCCTCAACCGCCGGAAGCTCTTCCACGTCAACATCTGTGCTTCAAGGTGGCGGGGAGTTAGCGAAGTACCTCAACAGTGACAAAGTCATGTACGATTTAGATAGTGAGGAAGACTTCAACTTACTACAGTGGTGGCAAGAACACAAGCTTACATTTCCGGTGCTCTCCATATTAGCACGTGATGTGTTATCGGTGCCTGTTTCTACGGTGTCATCGGAGTCAGCTTTCAGCCTTGCTGGAAGAATAATTGAGGAGAGAAGAACTAGTCTCGCCCCAGATATGGTGAGAACACTGATGTCCGTCAAAGATGGGGAGTTATCAAGAAGGAGAGCGCAACACACTGCAGAAAACACAGAACTACTTGCCATGTTTGAAGAAATGAACTTTGAAGAAGACCCGGAAGATTAGTCGAAGACTTGTAGTGTAGTCATTTTCTTATCATTTTGTAATTTTCTTTCCCTTTTGTAATTCTAGAGCATGGCTTTGTACTCTTTTACTTCCCAGGGATGGAAGGTTTTAATGAGGCAGCCACTAATAAAGCTCAACATTTATCCCAAATGATACATTATTACATTGTCTCAAACTGCATCTCATTTTACACACACAATACAAATATGGATGGGAGAGGCTCCAGAATCTGGGACTACTACGATGCTGAAGTAGTTACGGACGGTAGAAAATCTGAGCTAAAAGCACGGTGCAAAAGATGTGGTAAGTTGATGCGCATTGCCTGCCACGGTCCAGTAAACATCCTTACTAGGCACAGAGCAGTACACATCAAGAGAGACGAGTTGGCCGCGGCTGCCGGGCAAGGATGAACGATCCAAATTAGTTTAGTTCCAGTCTTGTAATTTTTTTAGTTCAATTCTAGTCTTGTAATCTTTTTATTTCTACTTCTTTTAATCTTTTAGTACTTCTAGAGCATAGCTTGTACTCTTTTACTTCTTTGGGATGGAAGGGTTTAATGAGGCAAGCGTTAATAAAACTCTAGATTTATCCCACATAATACTCTACATTTTTTTGCAATTTTCTATATTTTTTTGGGTATTTTTTCGACATTTTTTCGCATCTCGCTTAGACTAGTATTTGATAGTATAGTGCAGCGTGCAGTGTGTAATTGCAGCGATACAGCATTGTAGCAGCGTGCCAGGCGAGAGGCGACCACCAGCGACCAGGGTGCCAGGCGCATTGGTGGCCATGCAAATGTATGCCAGCGACCAGCAGCGATGCAGCCTTGCAGGTTGCAGCGTGCCAGGCTGCCAGCGCGCAGCCCGCAGGCCACTGCGATGAGAGCGCCAGGCCAGGCGGGCCAGCTAGCGCCAAGCGGGCCGGCGTGCCTGGGCGGGCCGCGTGCCGGCCCAGCTATGCCGCGTGCCGTGCCTGGGCTGCGCCCCCCCGCCCGTGGGCCGGCACGGCACAGCCCGGCTAGCATTCGTGCCGTCACGGGCCGGGCCGTGCCAGGCACGTTTAGCGCGGGCCGGGCCGTGCCGTGCCGGGCCGGCCCGTTTGGCCAGCTATACAGCATAGTAAGCGCCGGGTCGGTCAGCCCGGACGTATAGAGCCAGTTGGAGGAGCCTGACCGAATCACGATTTTGTGACCGGTCAGGCCCGTCCACCTCCACCTGGACGATGCTCTAGCCATCCCAACTCCTCGAAAAGTACACCGCTGACCCAACGACACAGTCCTATCAACACGGAGCCGCTATCCTGCCCCGAAGTCAGTCGCCAAACCAAAGCCCCCGCCAACTCCCACGTACGCTCCGTCCAAATCAGCCAGCACGGCGGGCGAACGCGTAGCACACCACGCCCGGGGCCGGGTCTAGGCCGCTAAAAGGACACGCACGGATGCTTGCGGCTGCAGCAACGAGCAAGCAACGCATCATCTTCATCTGCACTAGCCGCCTAGCCGGCTAGCAGAAGCCAACCAAACCGAACCGAAAGTGCAGCAGGAAAGGGGCGCGGCGGCGCGGCACACGGTGCGGATATCACACGATCATGGCGGTGACGGGTGCGCGGGTTGGTGGAGGCAGTTATGCGTCGGGTAAACGCGGGCGCGCACGGCACGGCACGGCACGGCTGGACCAGCCAGAAACAGCGGCCCCGCGTCCCCGCTGTCGCGCGACGACGGCTGTCGCCTCGTCGTCTCCTCCTGCCTGCTACGCCACGCCAACGACGCTCGGAATCGGAATTAAACCCCTCCCCCACCCCCACCCCCACCACCACGAACAGTTCGTAGTTCGTCTCTCTTCCTCCGCCCCCCCAGCTGCCGCCAGCCCGCCGTCCGCCCCTCCTC